TAAGATTTTTACATGAGCATAGTAGCATAAGGAATGTTTGTGTGAACCAACCAGGCATATTCGAAAGACAAATCTTGTATGGACATCCTAATTGCCAAGTGCCTCACAGCCCCGTAAATTGTGCTCTCTGCAAACTTGAAATTAAATGCAGATAAATGTGAATTCTTTCACACAGCTTCTGGAATCTTGCCTGCACATGGGAGGTTTTATTCAGTCACTATTTCTTTTAGCATGACATTGGTTCACATCCACGGTTAGCATTGGGCATGGCCTGTGTGTGTGTGTGTGTGTGTGTGTCAGATGGTAACTCTGCTCAGGGGAAGGGGAAGGTGTCACGGGTGTGTGCATGCTGACCGGGGTTTAAGAATATTACTTCCATATTTCCTGGTGTTTGAAAGGCTAGGATGCTGTTAGAGGGGTCCCACCAGGAAAAGGGGGATGCTTCAAAGAACATCAGGTCTGGATTTCTGACGGCCTGTTCATACAGTGTGTAACAGAAACCTTGTTTCTTCCCCAAAGGAACTCCAGGCATCAAGGTGAGATGTGTAGACTTGGAGAAGGGAGGGGCCCTGGGTTCTGCCAAACAGCTGTCTTCTCTCTTTCAAGTTAAAAACCAATTGCCCTCAGGGCAGAAGGACCCTTGGGGGGGGGTTTCAGTGAGAGTCTCAGATCCCAAAGCATTTTCATACTCCTCCTAACCCCCACCTCCCAGAAAGGATGTGCCTGTCAGAAAAGACAGGTCTCCTCCAAAGGATGTGATTTCTGTCTGTCGGGAAAGATGGAGGTCTCCTGCATAGTCTGTTTCTCTTCACAACTATCGAGCTCAGACTGTGTGGAATGTGATAGCCTTTTGTTTCAGCTTCACATATTCCCACAGAAAATAACTTAGTCAGGAAATCATTTCAAACACCCCATCTGACACCCTTGAACTTCAGCTAAGGAAAAAGTATATGTTACTCTTTTAATTTTTTTTTGCCTGAAAAGTGTCTTTATTTCATTAAAAAACAAACAAACAACAAACTGCCACTTGGTATGAGACCTGCACACCGTAATAGTGATGTTACGGTCCTGGGTGGGCTAGTAGGGATGTCAGGGTCCCTAAACATCTTGATCATTTTAAGTGGTATCTTTTTAAAACTAGTTTTTAAAAGATTTACTTATTTTTACATGCATTGGTGGTTTGCCTGTGTGTATGTCTGTGCAAGGGTTCCAGATCTCCTAGAACTGGAGTTAGAGACAGTTGTGAGCTGCCGTGTGGGTGCTAGGAATCAAACCCGGGCCTTTTGGAAGAAATTCCGGTGCTCTTGATTACAGAGCCATCACTCCAGCCTTCATACAGTATCTTTAACTGAACTCAGAGTTCATCCATTTAGAAAAGGAATACAGCTGAAACTTTGGGATACCTACTAAGGCCCATCATTTTTTACAGCATTAGCACATTAATGCTTTATTTGTATGTAAACAAAAGTACTAATTTGAGTTATATCTAAGACCACGCTTTTCCTAGAGAACCCTGTGGCAGGAGAAAGATAAGCCTGAAACACCAAAAATCTATTGTTTTTTTCTTTGTTTTTTTAATGTGATGTGGTGTGTGCGTGTGGGTGTTCACACTTTTGTGTGTAAGAGTGCATGCATTTGTGTGTGTGTGAGCGCATGTGTGTTCACCCTTGTGTGTGTGTGAGTGCCTGCGTTTGTGTGTGCGCATGTGCATGTGTGTCCACACTTGTGTGAGAGCGTGTGTGTTCACACTTGTGTGAGTATGTGTGTGTGAGAGCGCTCACATTTGTGGTGTGTGTGCATGTGTGTTCACACTTGTGTGTGAGCACGTATGTGTCCACACTTGTGTGTGTGTGAGAGTTCACACATTTGTGGTGTGTGAGAGTACACACATTTGTGGTGTGTGAGCACGTGTGTTCACTTGTGTCTGAGCACGTGTGTGTCCACACTTGTGTGTGTGTGAGAGTGCACGCATTTGTGGTGTGTGAGCATGGGTGCACACACTTGTGTGAGTGCGCACATGTGGAGGCTTGAAGCTGACCCTGCCTGTCTTCCTCCGTCGTGCTCCACTTTCTGCACTGAGGCAGGTTTTCTCAGGTGAGCCCAGCCTGGGGGGGGGGGTGGTCCCCTCTCTCTGCTTCCCAAGCGCTGGGATTACAGGTAGGACTAGTGCTTGCTTCACTTTTTACCTAGGGCCCCAGGATCTGAACTCCAGACTTCACACTTTGTCTCAGCAAGCCGCTTGGCAAAGTGCCCAGCCATGTCCCTGGCCACGTGGTTTAAATGTTATCTCAGGATACTAACCTGAGAGATAAAAACGATGCGTTTGTGTGCTGATGTCACGGCTCAAGGGTGAAGCGTCCCTCATGGGCCATGCGGTTCCCAGCTGGTGCTGTTGGTTCCCTAACAGCTTCTCTAGGAGGCAGGCTCTAGGTAGAGGAAGTGGGGGCGGGCACTGAAGACAAGTCTTGAGACTTAGAGCCGGGCACACTTCCTGTCTGCGTCCTGGACCACCGAGATGTAAACAAGCGGCAGTCGGATATTCCCACCACCCCGGAACCACTCCCTACCGTGCCTTTCCACGACAGACTGCACCCCCCAAACCGTGAGCAGAATACTGCAAGCTGGGTCTGTTGGGGGTATCTGCTCATTGCAACAGGCAGAGTGATGGACACGTAACTCGCCACGAGAAGGGGAAGTGGGGGAAAGTTCGGGCGGGAACTGGAAACTGCATTTGTTCTGGTAGCGCAAGAAGGGACTTAGAAAGAAATATGGTCCAGAGAAAGGAGAACTACATAAAGAGGAATCAGTCCATCGGGAACTCCCAAGACACTTGGTTACCGCTTGTAGATGCCAATGTAACACTGCTTAACGTTGTGTATTTCCTTGAGAGCAATTCAGTGTCTGCTACCTGCCTGGGGAGCTGGGAGAAAAAGATCTGAGCTGGAAAGTATTTCAATCTTCACTCACACCTCATTGTTGCATAATGAAATCAAGGCAGGAACATGAGCTGAATATGAATTAGGGAAAAAAAATAACAAACGTAGGAGTTAAGAACAGCATTGGAGAGAGAAGTGGCTAATACAGTCCAGATGGCTGTCAGTTGAGGAGAAACGGAAGTGGAGACAAAATTGACCTTTCCAGAAAAAAAAATCATCGTGCGCCAGATTGAAAAGAAAATAAAAACCAAATGCAATTTAGGATAAACACATATAGGCTTTCCAACACTGAAACAGATCTCTCTCACCCTCGGGTCCCCATTGAGATACACTGCACCGTGTGAGGGACCATTGCAATGGCCTCATGGTTGAGAGCCTGGGGTCACTATGAATAGTGCCATCACACTGAAGCACGATTCAGTGACAGCAATGTGACCCCCAAACCCAGTCCTTCCCCCTCCCCCATGATGCAGGAGGACACTCCATAATAGGTTATGGCGTGGACACTGCGAATTCTTCAAGCTTATTTAGTTACTCACCAATCTGGGATCTGCTGACTGCATGCAGCCTGGCGGGTGTGGGGATATTGCCATAGATATAATAACTGTCCTCACAATGTCCTCAGACATCTTGGGGGTGGGTGAAAAGGCCATTGACACTTAAAGCTATGTTAGATGGCGTAACTTTTGTGAGGGAGGGTAAAACACAGGACAAGATGATGGAAGTTGTGGCAAAGGGTCATGAGGGAAGACCTCAAGGTATTGTGTGGGCAGAAACTGGCGTGGTAAGAAGAAGGGAAAGAAGGGAATGGATCCGTGCCGGAGACCAGAGGTGGTTGAGGGACACGCCCACCCAGCGAGGGTGCTTGGCACGCCTAGATCACAGGCGGAGGCAGGGTGTGCATTTCTGAAAGATGAAGGCACCAGGGTGACGTGAGAAGACATGACACCGAGGGATGCAGGCACATCTTTTCTGTAGAAAACCCTCCAGCGTCGTCGTTAACATAAGCGAAAGGCTGTCAAAGACTGGAGGATTGACCTTAATTTAAAGCACTCCATGTCAACATTCAAGAAAATCATCTACCCCAGATAGGCTTTCTGTCTCCAGCCTGTCTGTGCTGTTTAGAGAACATGGGTACCCCCTCCATCTGCAGGGTCAAACACTCAGAAAGGGGACAGGGGGAGAGCTTACTGGGTATAAGCTTAGGGACCCCAGTTTGAGTCCCTAGTACACACATGACTTCATGTGTTTATGGCCTCAATGATTCGGTTAAAAAACAGGTAGATGATCCTAGGAGGTCACTGGCTGGCCAGTGTAGCCAAAAGAGTAAACTTCAGGAGCATTGAGAGACCCTATCTTAAGGCAGAAGGCAACAGAGGGAGGCATTGGATATCTTCTTCTGAATCAGGTACACACACACACACACACACACACACACACACACACACACACACACACACACTATTGCCTGTACTGAAGTTTTTTTGTGTTTAGTCCCTAATCAATGCAGTGTACAGCTGTTTCCATGGCTATTTGCATAGGTAGTGTATACTGCACTAAGTTTAAGTAATTAGAAAATGTGCACAAGAGTTATTTACCTCTAATGCCATTTTATATCTGGGACCCACAAATCCACAGATTTCCGTGTCTGAAGAAGGTTCTGGGGATGGCATAAAAACTAAGTTTATAATTTCTGCCACCCAAATATTCATAATAGACTATTCTAATTTTGCTACTTGTCGGAACTTCTGAGATGTTTAAAATGCAAACCGTACCCTTGGTAACTGAAGTGCGGTATCAGATCATTCCTTTAGCTTGAGCCAAGTGACTGCTTCAAGGCGTCTCAGATGGATCCTTACACAGAGGGAAAACCCGGCTTCTAGCTTCAACCAAGGACAAAACCGACACAAGCCCCGGTGTTGGACTGCGGCTACCAATGATTAGTTATTTCTATAAAAATCTGTGATGATGCTGGCAGATGCGCTTGACAGTCACCTTTAAAGAAATACTTGTGAAACTATCACCTTTGAGGAAACACTTATGGGATTATACGGAAACAGTTACCTGCTCAGCCAGGAGGGAAGCCAAGCTGGAGTAGGCATCAGCAAAGTCTGGACCATACTTGATGGATTCCTTCAGCAGCACGATGGCTTCTTCTGTTTTCTCCTGGGACCTGCAGAGGACAGGGGGAGGTTGTCTCTCATTGGCGCTCGCTTTAGTCCTCTGCTTAGACTCCCTTCTTTTAGCAAAGATTAGGTGGTTCAGTTTTGGATTTTACTGTATTAGTGTATACATGTTATGCTGGTCTAACGGTCTCCTCTCACACCTGAATTCTCAATGGAGGACAATGTGAAGGCTCCTGGCCCCCTGCTGCTGTGGTTTGAATGTGCTGTGCCCCTACAGCTCGTGTGTCTTAACAACACTTGGTTCCCAGATGGTGCAGATGCTGTCGTGGACATTGGATTTTTGAACCTAACGGGAGGATGGGGGGTGGTGGTGGTGAGGCATAGATCACTGGGGCAGTCCTTGAGGTTTTCTTTTTAGACCAGACCCTACTTCTTGTCCATTTTACTGCATCTTGACTGTGGACACAATGTCCCCTTACACTCCCAAGGCCACGCCTTTCCCCAACCGAGATGGGCTGTATATCTGTTTAACTGGGAACCTAAGGAAGCCCTTCCTCTCTTACATTTTTTGCTTGTTAGGGATTACGTCTTAGTGACAGGAAGAGTAGTGGGCAAGCACACCCGCTCTGCAGTGTCTGGGAGTTCTACCAAAGGGTCTGTGAGGTCTGTTAACAAGAAACACAGACCTCAGGCCAACACACCTGAGACATCACCTTGGAACCGAGTATAAGGATGCAAACACGGTCTGGGCCATTTCTAACAGCACCACAGTCTGAAATCCTTTAAAAAAAAATTATGCTTGCAAATGTGTATCTGTGCGTAGATCCCATGTGCAGGTACCTACGGAGTCCAGAAGAGGGCGCTGGATGCCCCAGAATTGGAGTTACAGGGTCATGATCCACCCAGTATGGGTGCCTGGTACTCACGTATATTTTAACTAAGGAGCTTCACAAGCTGCGCTTTTTTTCCTTTGAGGATCTTAGCATAGAATCTTTTGATTTGAGATGTTTTATTAAGTTTTTCTTTCATTTTACATACAAAGCAGTCTCCCCCTCCCTCCTCTCCTTCTGTTCCTCTCCGTATAACTCCCTTCCCCCTCATCAACTCCTCCTCCATTCAGAAAAGGGCAGGCCTGCCATGGGAGCCAACAGATCATGGCACATCAAGTTGAGACAGGACCGAGCAAGCTCCTCCCCCTGTATCAAGGCTGGGTGAGGCAATCCAGCATGGGCAATAGGTTCCCAAAAGCCAGCCCATGCGCCAGGGACAGGTCCTGATCTCACTGCTAGGGGCCCCATAAACAGACCAAGCTACACAACTGTCCCCTATGTGCAGAGGGCCAAGGTCAGTCCCATGCAGACTCCCTTGGCTGTCGGTCCAAGGTCTGTGAGCTGCAAGCTGAATTCTTAATGGTGGCTACTGGCCCAGGACAAGCCGGGCCAAATGTTCATCTATGATTTATATCCAAGGAAGAAAATGTCACATACAATTTATGAAATTAGAAAACACTATGACCATTGGCTGGAAAAGGGTAGTCAACGCACTGTTTTGTCCTCACTACAAACTGTCTCCATTTTTGTTATTTGGTCTTCTCTGGGACTTGAAGTTCTGTCCTTGGGTGAAGGACCCCTGTCCTGTTGGTTTGGTCGCTGGATCTCTCTTGTCTTTGAGGCCAAAACATTCACTATGCTTAGGCAGTAGTAACTTTGCTACTGAAACAACTTCCACAGACACTGATATTATAAACCTAACAAATACACTGTAGTATGGAGAACGGAATCTCTGGAACCACAGACAGTCCGTGGCCTCAGGGAGCTAGGCCTAGTCCCTGCAGGCCCCTTTTCCCCATCAGAAACCAATTCAGAGTCTGATGCCTGTGTTTTCACAGCTCGGCTCAGTGATAACTGTGTACTGGGCGTTCTCATCAAGTCTCGTAGCATTATGAATTCAGTTCTTACAGCAGCTCCACACAATGGATATTGTGCTCATTTTTTCTAACGTAAAAGTCCACACGCAGGAGGGCCTAATGGCTCTAGTTATGTTCACATCATCTTCCAAATGCTTCTCCATTGTCACACAACGGATTCATTTTCTTCGGGATAAGATCTAACTCGATATGCTAGGCCAGCCTGGAAATCCCTTGAGGAAAAATTCCTGCATGAGACCAGTTTAAAATATGATCCTAACACTCTGAGTGTATGCTTTCTGTGGCCTCTGTCTTGGATCTTATTCATCTTTTTGGTTTTTTTTTTTTTTCGTTTGTTTGCTTTTGCTCCCAGAGACCACTCTAATGGCCTGCACATAGTAAAAGCCCAGCAAATGTTAAATTATTTTTAAAGCACATCTTTATTACTTTATTTCTGGATCATTGTATATGTACTTAAAATTTCTACTTCAGCCTCCTGGGCACTGGGATTTACAAGTGTGAGCCACCATGCCAGCTCGTAGCTGCTTCTTTTAGCTGCTCAGGATTCTACCCTCTCCCCCAAGAGCTGTTCAGACAGTGACTCATGCACTAGCGTGAATGTCACCTGGCAGCCCGCTGTAAATATAGAACTTCCCAGGTGATCTCAGCAAACCTATGCCATGAGTTCCCAGGGGTGGCTGAGGGTCAAGGTCATCCATTCCTGATACCAGCCTTCTCCCCTAACCCCTGCAAGTCCAGGGTCTATAGAATGTAGTCCGAATGCTTTGGTGACAGAAGCAGCTTGTTACCAGTAAGTTTCACCTAGAAGGCAGACGATTCCTATCACAGACTTGGGAGTAAAAAAGGCACAGGTTCAAAAGTCCTTGGGGTTGAGGATTCAGTTTGGTATATGTGGTAGTTTCAATAGAAATGGCCCCCATAGGCTCAGAGAGAGTGGCATTATTTGGTATGTGACTTTGTTGGAGTAGGTGTGGCCTGTTGGAAGAAGTGTGTCACTTGGTGGTGGGATTTGGGGTTTCAAATGCTCAAGCATCACCACCCACCCCCAATCCATACCCCCACTCCCCCACCCTGCTGCCTGTTGATCCAGATGTAGAACTCTCAGATCCTTTTCCAGCATCATGTCTGCCTGCACACCACCATGCTTCCTGCCATGATGATAATGGATTAAACCTCTGGAACAGGTAAGCCAGCACCAACTAAATGTTTTCCTTTATAAGAGTTTCCATGGTCATGATGTCTCTTTACAACAAACAGAAAACCTAACTAAACCAGGTGTGGTGGCACACACCTTTAATTGCAGCACTCAGGAGGCAGTGGCAGGCAGATCTGTGTGTTCAAGGCCAACCTGGTCTACAAAGTGAGTTCCAGGACAGCTAGGGCTGTTACACTGAGAAACCCAGTCTCAACCACCACCAAACAACAACAGAAAACCCAAACAAACCCTAACTAAGACATAAGTTGGTATCAAGAGTGGGGGTATTGCTGTGATGGTTCTAAATTTTTTTGTTTAGAGGAATGTGGATTTTGGGATTTTGGATTAGGAAAGCAGTTGAATGTTTTAAATGGGGCTAAATGTACTGTACTAGTAGGAGCATTGAAGACAGTGGTGCTGAGGGTGATTTGAACTGTGAGGGTCTGGATGAAGGGGTTTCAAAGGAGTGTGTGACCTAGAGATTATTCTTCTGATATTTTGTCAAAAAAAGTGCAGGTGCTTTCTGTCCTTGTTAAAAAAATATCTGCCTGAGCTGGGCATTGGTGGCGCATGCCTTTAATCCCAGCACTCAGGAAGCAGAGGCAGGCGGATCTCTGTGAGTTCGAGACCAGCCTGGACTACCAAGCGAGTTCCAGGACAGCCTCCAAAGCCACAGAGAAACCCTGTCTCGAAAAACCAAAAAAAAAAAATCTGCCTGAGGCTAAATTGAAGGGTTATGTATTAATAGCTGTGGCAGAGAAGATATCCAGACAGTCTAGTACTGAGTTGCTTGGTTATTGGTGGCAAATCTTATGCAGATCTACAATGAAATGGAGCAAACCGAGAAAGGAAAACTACAAAATGTACAGTTTGAGGAGAAAAGGAGAATCGGGAAAGTTTAAAGAAAAACCTGATGCTAAGTGGAAAAAAGGGAATGGTGACCTCATGGCAAGACCCCATTCAGCTAAGTTTCCAATTCTTGAAAAGGTGGTGTACGCTTTAATCCCAGCACTCAGGAAGCAGAGGCAGGTGGATCTCTGTGTTTGAGGCTAGCGTGGTCTACAGATCGAGTTCCAAGAGAGCCACGCTTAGACCGTGAAGGAAACCACTGAAAACAGAAAGCTCGAGAAAATGAATTTGAATGAGGTGTTCCAGCTCCCATGCCCCACATCAATCAATAACCAAGAAAATGCCCCCACAAATAAGCCCATGGGTCAGGACGATGACGCTTTCTGAATAATGTTCCCTCCCCCAAATCGATCCCCCGAATCGATTCCGATTTTTATCAAATCAGTTAATCTAGCCATCAAAGGCAGACCCTGGGGCTGGAGAGATGGCTCAGAGGTTAAGAGCACTGACTGCTCTTCCAGAGGTCCTGAGTTCAATTCCCAGCAACCACATGGTGGCTCACAGCCATCTACAATGAGATCTGGTGTCCTCTTCTGGCTTGCAGACAGACATGGAGGCAGGATGTTGCATTCATAATAAATAAATAAATTAAATCTTTAAAAAAAAGGCAGATCCTGTCTACCTCTTCTTACTTAAGTTAGCTCCCAACTGACTCTCCTGCACACATGCTCCTGTCTTGGACAGCAGGGGTTAACAGCCCAGCCCTTCAAGGACTCATCCTTGAACTGAGTCCTTAGAGTTGAAAGTTATAATACATTTGCACCACAGCTCATAGCAGCACTCTCTTGTTGATTTACTTGGTCAAAAAGAACTCAAGAAGGTTCTGCATCACTCTACAAAGTCTCTGAGGTTTCACACACTTGTGTTCTCTTACAAACACACTATAAGTCATTCTCCCATTTGTACATATTTTTTAAAGCAAAAATGAATGTTTTAACGCCAGTAATTTGACTACTGTGATTTTACGGTTAGAGCTCCAAAGAGTCTTCACCAAGTATCATATAGAAATTCTGCTT